TATTATCAGAATTATTTAGTAAGTATGTAGATATAATTCAAAGTTTGTTTTTATATGATAAATAAAGATCAATTATGATAGCAATATTATTAAGGGTTTGTATATTGTAGATATATGTTATAAGTAACTGGTTAATGAGAACTATTGTTCTTGTACTTGATTCTCTAGGATGGTTTGGGTTAGTAGTATTGTTGTTTGACATGAAGCATTTGTAATTATTATTGTGAAGTGTAAAATAATTATATTGAGTTTATGCTAATTTAGTTTCTGTAAATGATATAATATTGAACTGTTAGCTAATGCAATAGTTCAGCCATAGTTGTCTTTTAGTAATATTGTTGTATTCTTATATATTATGTATTGCAATAGTTATGTGCTGTTGTGTATGTGAATTGTTATATTGGTTGAAGTAATGTATTGACATATTATTAAGATATATCCATAGCCATCATGATTATTGTGAGTAACTGATTTAGTAATATAGTTAGAAGGTTGAATATTTTCTAGGTAGATATGGGCAATGATAATAGGTTAAGTAAACAGTTAAGAATTGTTCTAATTTTATATTTGTTTAAGACTTTGTATTGTTGAAGTAATTTCAGCTTATAAAGTTATTAGAAGTGTAAGTTGTATATTATTTAACAATAATGCTGAGTTGATATTTTTAATATTATTTAGTATAAGTAGAAGTAATTGTTTTGTTGGTTCAGTTTTATTAGCATCAGTCTTGTCTGCTTGATCTGCATTTTGAATAAAAAGATTTGCAATATTGATCCAAGATGATGGCAGTTGTTTGAAATAAAAATACTAATAAAATGTTTTTGTAATCTAAATAAGTTGTTGTAATATTGTAATTGTCTATTTGATATTGAGAAATAGGTTTATAATTCTAGAAGAAGGTCTTGGTATCTTTCAGGTAATATAAGGAGTTTTGCAAAATAGTTGTCTGATAGTTTGTCAAACTTGAAGATTTTTCTTAGACCATTAACAGTAATCCTTATATATAATCTTTATATAATTAAAAGTGTAAATAATAGAATAGCTTTAATATGTTCTAGTATTTCACTAGGGTCTTGTGGTAGTGATATCAGTTTTTCTTAAAATGCATTTATAATTATAATTCCAATTTCCTTAGAAGTTTGTTTATTTTTATTTTGAATTTGCAGAAAGCTTCTTGTATAGTAGATGGTTTTGTAAATCATAAAGGAGATATAGAAAATAAGGTTAATATTAGAGAGATATTATGAAATAAATATTTATTTGAATATAAAGTTAATAGTTTTGTAGATAGTTGCATCTGTAATTGTAATTTGGTTAGTCTGTTTATATGTAGCTAAAGCATTATTGTATAGGTTAGTATATTCTTTTTGGTATTCTGGAATGGTATTTGGGTTTTTGGTAAAGATGGTGAAGAACCTGGTATCAAGATATCTAAATTTAAGAAATATTGTAAGTGGGATTACAAATTCAGTTGGTATAATAATAAATTTATAATTGATAAAATCCTAAATTCCAGTTGGTATTTGAAGTGCCTTAGCAATTCTCTCATATAACCAGATTTGTTAATCAAATTGAATATTAATTTGGTTTGTGATTCTGGTCTATATAATATCTGCCTATTCTGAATCATTAATATCATTAAAACTAGATATGTTGAATTGTTTTTTAGTAATTTGACTATATGTAGGTCTGATGTTATCAGAGTTGTCAGATATGATGGTTATAGAAATTGATGATATTGTAAGTATAGTATTAAATAATCCTAGTTGGGTTATTGTTTGTATGTTGAGTAGTTGAAGTTTAGATCATTTTTTATTTTGATATTGTCTTGATGTTAATTGGATTTTAGTAGATTTAGTTATTAATCTGATAGTTTCAATAGGATTATGTTATGAAATAGAAAGACATTTGTTTCTTTTAATATTGGTGTTTTGTGTTATCTGAATTGTGTTATGTGATGTAGTAACTAATAATTGAGTTTGTATAATATTTGTTGTAGAACCAGCAGTAATATTGAATATTAGTTTATCATTTTGTAAAATGATGCTTGTTTGTAATAGTTCTTCATTTGTATCTAGTTCTATAATCATGTTGTATAATATACATAGAAGATTTTTGTTAAATTTAGATGTCTTGAATTTCTTTTATATTTTTTTATATAACTGAATTGTTAGATTAAAATCACAATTGTATATATTTCTAAGATATTTAATACTAATATTTACAGAATTGTTTCTTATTATTATAAGATCAAAAATTATTGATTAGAAAAGATCTTTATGTTTATATAACTATTGGATGAAGAATGTAGTAAGGTTTGATATATGATCAAATTTGATAAGATCTATAGTAAAGAGATATTTGTCAATGAAACTAGAAATAAGAAAAATGATTGTAAAGATAAGTTTAGATAGGTCTTTTATAATAATATTAATGAATTCTTTTACATATTCAATAACAAAGTTAATGATTAGAAGTGTAGATGTAAGATTATTTGAGCTAATATATTTTCTAGTAAAATAAGCTAAAAGAGAGAAAAAGGAAATGTCTTGAAAAATTGTTTAGTTCAGAGTTTATGATAGGTTTGTTTATAGATTATTTGAAATTTTTTTGTTATTTTTTGGAACTGCCATCTTATATCTATATGCTAGGTTAGTAAATATATAAAGGTCCTTAGGACCAGTTTTACTAAAATGTGAGTTGTTTGTTATAATGCTGTTTTTGATGATATTGTAATCCAAAACTGCTAATAAAAATTTTTCTTGAGGTTTGCACTTCTTTTAAGTCAAGTTTAATGTATAAAACAAGTTTAATTAATAGTCCAAGGTTGGTTTACTTAGTAGTTATTGCTCTATCTTTGAAATAAAATTTTTCTTCTTTTGTTCAGTTTTGGTAAAGTGATCTACAGAAAGAGTTTTAAAGAATAAATTTAATTTCATATCATAATTGATAACAAATTGTATAAGAAATTGACTTAAAAAGATTGAAATTTATTGAAAAAACCTAACATGCTTCCAGTAAACAATTGATTGATATTATTATTTTGAATATTAAGAAACAAAAAAGAATAATTCAACTTCGAGCAAATGAATTGGGTTATTTATATCGAGAAGTAACTGTTTTTTGGAATTATTTATATTTATCCTGCTACCATTTGAACTCCTTGTCGCAAAAGAAAGTAAATGAATATTAGATTAGATGAAGATAAAATATAAATGTAAACATTCTTAATTATGAAATAATGTGCATGATAGAGTACTTGTTTTTAACATTTTTTTACAGAATACAGAATAATATATTATTTACTTATATAGAAAAAAAGACCATAGATCAGAAATGCTACGAAAAAACAAAAGGAAATGGTTCTTTTATTTATTAAGGTGTTAGATGGTGTTATTGGTAGCGGCAATGCTAAATGAATTTTCCATCATCGAAATCCATTTTTTCAATAAAGAGATGTATATATTATTAAATAAAATAAGATATCAAGATTCCAATGGCCACCATTGAATATAGAAATTAATTTTTCGAGATAGATGCTTTTTTTTTATTTGACGAATTATGCATCTCGAAATATTCACCGCGTTCCTTCATATAAATTTTAATATTGGTGAACGTTTAGAACAATTCGGAAGGTCTAGACAAGAGGGAAGACATATAAAGATGAAAAAAATAACCGTTCGCCGTGGTTATTTCGGAAAAAGTCGGATGCACAGCATAGAAATGCTGATGATTGTATACTGCGTCTATAAAGTTAATCACCAGTACTTTAATGAGCACTGTAATATCTGGAATTAGTTATTATATCTTTTGCTGAGTCAGTTATTATTTGTTTGTTTATATATTTATCTTACGCCTTGCATAGCCATTAAAACATAAGTACAGCATCAATTGAGGCAGCGCTATACAGCCTCAGTCGACTTAGAAAGTTATGAAGCATCATCAATTAGGTAGTATAAATTAATTTGGGGTTTTTATAATCCTGCTGTAATGACTGGACTCGTCAATTCGCGATTGAATTTATTATGATTTGAATCATGAAGTTTTAACTCGGGTTACTCGCGAATAATATATTTGGTTTAATTTGCAACATTTTCAATAAATTAACTTCGTGACTCGAATAACTCGAATAGAATAATTAAAAAAAATCTTATGGTTCGACTACTCTTCCGGTTTCAATTAGCGAATTACAAATCACAAGTCACTACCCTGCTGGGTAAATTTTTTTTTAAATTTAATAACCGATTGTATATATTTAGAAAAAAAAAGATAGGATGGCCTGGTTGTTTTGGGAAAATTTAATTTTAAAATTATTAAATAAAAAAATCAAACTTGTATGGCCTTGGTGTCAAAATTACCTCGTATTATTAGCGTATAACTTTAAAAATCCAATTAATTCATCCAATGGCTTGTTTTCAATTTGCTATTAAATATTTGAGGAAAAAAAATTTCAAAGAAAACCATGTGCTTCAAATCAAGATTTTTAGTCTATTCTAGGATAATTAAGGGCTATAAGATACATAACTGAGCGACTTAAAATATTACTGGGCCTATATTAGGGATGTTAAATATAAAAATGTACGTCATTTTAATAATGCTTAATGTATAAACGTTTTGTGTAATAATTTTTAATGTCAATCATGCGAGCGGAGCCTAAGACGTTGTTTAAATTCACTTATCCATTGTAAGTTCTAATCTATATGTATATTGATATTTTCAATCAATTTATGTGCAGTTTGCAATGATGAAAAAAATATATTTGTGATACTTGAAAGATAAATATTTAGAGAGCACAAAAATTTCATAAATAATGAATGATACGTGCAAGTTGTCTAGACTTAGCCAGCAAAGCCAACGTAAAACAATGGAATATGTAAATAAAAGAAATCATTTTAATTTTTATTTCTATGTCTTTTTAACAGTGATCTATATAATTGATTATATAATAATTGATAATTAAAAGTCAAAATTTCGTAAATTGTATGTAAACTGTAAAAGACATGGAAAATGATCAGGTTGAAATACAAATTGAAAATGATAAAGGTCCACCTGTAATTGATAAAGGTCCATCTGTAATCGATAAAAAAAATCAGATAAAAGAATCGACACTATTTACGAAAAGTGCAGCAATTAGTCAGGACGAATCATTTTTAGTTATATTTGAAAGTATTGGTATGTTTTCTTACTTTTAATTAATATAATTTTACTATTAATAGGTTATAAAAATTTCATTTTAATAGGTTATAAAAATTTCATTTTAATTAAATTAAAATTTCCTTTCAGCGTTAGCAGTCGGAGATAATTATGATGATATCATAATACGAATGTATAACATAAATAGCGATGAAACGAAAAATAAAGTTATTTCTGAAGCACATTCTGAAACATTAACACTTACATTTACTGACGAACACGAAGAGCAAAGTTGGTTGATAGAGTCTAGTTCTTTTTCAAGTTTTTCTATTGCTGTATCAAATGAGTATAAAGAAAATTTTAGATTGCTAGCTTTATCTTGCATAAGTGACGATGATATGCAAGCGCCTGATATGGATAAAAAAAGTAGGTGCGGTTATACCAGAGTGTGGATGATCGGAAACGATTTTAAAGCCAAAGAATGTAGTATAGAAATAAATAATGGTGGAATAATCCAGTTTATTTCTGTTGATGATGATTTCACGCTTATTTTGTTAAAAGGAAATGGAATTTATAAATATCGTTTACGATATTTATCAGATGGCATGAAATTTCACTCTGAGGTTTTAGTGTTAAATTATCCGGAAAGAATAAATACTGCTTTAAAGTATAATTGTAGTGAATATGTTAGTAGGTATATGACCGTGCCACATAGTGATATTGTGCGTAAATATCTTTTGAGATGCTTAAATAGGCATTACTTATTAGTAGATACTTCTGGGAGAGATCCAAACAAGAATATAGAAATTTTTAATTTAAAAACTAATCAATTAGTGAATGTATTTAAAAGATATAAATTTGTTTTATCAATTTTGGATCGTGAAAAACCTGGCGCATTTACGATATCTAATGATGAAAATCTGTTAGCATACGTATCTGGAAATGACCTTAAAATTTATTTATTAGAAAATGGTCTTGAGTTATCATCTTTATCATGTGAAGATGGCATGTTTGATGTGGAATTTATGAAGTTTGTCTTAAATGATGAAAAATTATTAATATTCAAAGCCGACAGGACTGTAGCAATCTGGGATATTTTTAATTCTGTTAGAGAATCTATCGAATTCATACCTTTGGAAAAAAGCACATTTTCAGGTTTAGCCAAGCAAATGACGAGAATAGTCATCGGCCCTAGTTTAGAAAAATCAGAAAATTTAGAAAATAAATATTTTACGATCCTAAATATAAGACCATTCTTTGACATTGATGAAAATCAAATAGCTTGGGATAAATTAGTTCTAAGTGACCATTTGACAAGATCGGGTCTTAATCCAGATTGGATAGAACTAACTCCTTCTGACAGTAACATCACTAACGCGAAACCCAATGCTTATGGCATTGATGAAAATGTTTCATTATTGGATTTGAAAGAATCGGAACTTAAGTATTATCAAGGAATAGAACCATGGGCTGTTCATCCTGCAGAAAAAATAATTGATACTTATATTAAAGTGCGACCTTCGTTTCCAAGACATGTTATCTATCTTGATAAAAATAAAAAAATAAGACTCCTTATAGGCAACAATACTATACAAATTTGGCGTGGTAAAATGCTCGAATTTATTCACATTGTCAATGATAACCCCGAAGAGCCAGAGGAACCTCATGAGAAATTCAAAATTAACAAAATTAAATATGGTGTTGAAAAATTTGATCTTCTGATTAGTAAAGAGGAAGGAAAAGACATTCAGATAAAAATAGAACTTGATGATGATATTATACACATAGTAAGAAGTGCAATCGATGCACTTATATATTTGGATAGTCAAAGTAAATCTGTTAATCTTGCTGTAGGTGGTAAACGTATAACATATAACGATATAGTTCAACAAACACGGAACATTATTACAAGATTTATCACTTTATATTCGAATCCTTGGAGACTAATAGATTTTCGTTATAAGCTAATGAGCAAATTTATTATTTTAAAAGATTTTCTACTCATAACCCGTATTTTGTTTGGTCAAAGAAATGAATCAACTGATGGTTCTGAAAAATGTATTTCACAAATCCTTTCTGTGATCTCAATAAATGATAACGAAAGTAATACTGAAAATGACGTTAAAACCAAATTAATAAAAATTAAAAACATTATTTCAAGACACTCTTTCAGTCATAAAACAACTAAAGAAGAGCGTCCTCTTCATTCGTGGCAAGTTTCATTAAAAGAAATTTTACCTGATGATGAAGGTTAGTTATTTAATTATTGATATATATAACGAATATGTTCTTAATATATATGTATTTATTTATTCCTAAACTTATTATACCCAGAATCGAATATCGATATGACAATGCTTACATTTTTCCTAGAATATTATTCAACCAATGCGATGGATAACATTGGATGGATGAACGTTGTGTCTGAAGTCATACCAGTATTATACGAAAAGGAACTCGGTTTGTATTGTACTTGATAAATTTCAATTTTATTAAGTAATTTCCTCAATTTAGATTTGATTAAGTAATTTTCTCATATAATTCAGACTGGTACGCTCAAGAGTTCCTCTACAAGCCTTGTTTTGGTAACAAAATGTTAGATTTGTCTAGTTTCAAATTTCATAAGGTTAAGAAAAGCTCCGAAAATTCTTTAAAAGTTTATATTCCTATAACACAACTCATTCCTCGCGATACAAATTTAGAACTTAATCATATAAGGTAACGTTTTTTAACATATTAGCGGGTTTGCGCAATGAATAAACCATCAGTTGTAATTCCGATCAACTTGTCGATTATTTGACCAAATTTAAACCAATTTTACTCAAAAAATCTGTCATATAATAGAAAGTTTTGACCGGAATTATAACTGTGGTAGCTCTCCCACAAAAATCCCCTCTCGTGATTTTATCCAATTAGATTGTGTAATGAAATCTTTAGGGTTAGGATTAAATCACGTTAAGGGGGGATTTTTTGATTGATTTTTTGAGATCTACAGGCGTTGTAGGTGTTGTTTATTTCACCAAGTTTTGTTTATAAATAAATTACACTAACCTTAACTCTAATTTTAACTTAACCCTAACAAGACCGACCGGAATTACTTTGTCGGTGAAATAAACATATAGCGTCTACAAAATTAGCGTCGGTTTAATGTCGGTAAAGGGTGAAATCCGCTTTTATATAATAAAAAACATAATAAAGCGCGGATTTCACCCTAACCTGATCTACAAAGCGGATTTCCCTATTTTGCAACTTGGGTTTTACTTTATTCTAAAAAATGGTGTTATTTTTAAAATTATAGTGACGATGAGATTCCTTACATCAGAATGGTACCTTTGATTAATTTTGCAACGAATAAAGAAACACAAGATCCAATGGATGAAACTAAGATGGTTATTACAAGACTTTTTTTACCTGGAAAATACTCATCTATCGAACTTAAGGACTATAGCCCCTTTATTCGGCTCTTAATGAAGATGGATGCAGATGATGCATTTTATGATAACCCCTCAATGGAAGCCGTCATGAATTGGATGTGGTATTCTTCTAAATCTCATTGGCGCAACAGTTTATATCTTTATATTGTATACCTTTTATCATATTCGATTATTTCCTGGGCATATATTGCTCATCTCGAGGTTACTGGTTTACTACACATCCCAATGATCCTGATTATGTTCTTATTTTATTATTTAGCATATTATCATTTTGTTATTGAAGTACACCAATTTAGATTTCATAAGAGGGAATACGTCGAAGATTTTTTCAATTGGATGGATAACTTCTCTATTTTTTTACCTATGATCCTCTCTTTTCAATTTTTATTTGGTTATTATAGGATAGATGGGGGTTTTAAAAATGCCACAACTACTCAATTAAATGTTTTAATTGTCTTTATAAGCATTGTATTTCTTTGGTACGAGTTGGTAAGTACATATTTCCTCATTTTAATGTGTGAAATTAGTGAATTATTAAATATCCAATTTTATTATTCGTAGTTTTTGTTGTTACGCATTTTTCCAGGTACTCTCTAATATCCTTTAGACTGTAAAGTAATCGTCATTTATCTAAATAATTTTAATTTTATTTAGGATTTGCTAATTACCTCAATATAATTTTAAATATTATGAGATCAATTAAAACATTTTTAATTTTTTATGGTTTGTCAATTATTGCAGTGGTAAATAAAATTTTTAATTCATTAATATAAATTAAAAATTAATTTAGATTTGATTAATATTAATTAGTTTATATATATATATTTTTTGCATTATTAGGGACATGCACTGTAAGATTTTCTTTACTTTCAATTTACATTATTAAAATCATCATCTCATACATTTATTTATATAATACAGGTTTATACTTCTTGGCTATCCATCAAACGAATCATTAAATCAAGCACCTGATACTTACGATGTTGTGAATCCGAATTCAAATACAACACTTTATTCAATGATTGGCGAAGTACCCGATAATCCATTTTCCAATTTGCTTACCTCTATAATTGCCGTATATAATTGGGATTCAATTCCATTGGATACTTGGAATTTTTGGCCCCTTGCTATTATCAATGTTCTTGGTGGCTTTCTTTTTGTCATTATATTGGCAAATGTAATTATCTCGTTTATGGGGTAGGTATAACTTATTACAATGTTATTTTAGTTTAGTTTTTATCAAATTATTTTTATTATTATTGCTAATTTCCATAAACTTTTGAAAAGTAACGCGTTTTCAAATGCGGAAAAAGACAGTAGACGTGGTGTGCTCAGACTTCAAAAAGATTTAATTTCTGACTATGCAATTCTTGAAGGGTCCTCTCTTACCACTAAAACAAATAATTTTGATTACTTATTTAAAGATAAGTTACATGTGAGGTATATATGTTTTTTGGATGAACCATTACTTACAGATGCATGGAAAGAGAAATCAATAGAATTAGGTTCAAGATGGTTAGAAGCATACGGTTTTTTTGCAAGGAAAGAAAGTTCTGATGCTGAAGTTGATATTGATGAAGTTGATTTTATTTGGACCCGATCAGAAAATGCAAAATAATAATACGCATTATTATTAATTAAAATAGAAGTTAAATTTTACATTCTTTAATTTTATAATTTATAAAAAATTTTATTAAAATTTATTAAAAAATATTTGGTTGAATCATACAAAAAAATTAATTTGATCAAGTGCAAAATTTTTCTATATCAACATTTTTTTCAAATTTCAATATACAGTCTACCTTCGTTATAAGGTAATGGGAATTCTGTCCGTTATAATGGATATTCGCTATAGCGATATATAATAATAAATTTTTAAATTGTTCCGGAGAATTACTCTGTTATAACTATAGTTGGCGGTAGAATTCATTTAACAAATTAATACGGTTACGGCGTGTGCCGTATTATTTTCCGTAATTTCTTTGAGCCGTAATGCCGTAACCGTAATGCCGTAATGGCATAACTGTAATGCCGCTATGTCAAAATACAATAATGCTATTGTATCTAGATACCATAACGCTATTGTGTTAAAATAATATAATACTGCAATTAATGTTGTTAGACGAAACCTAAGGGTTTCGTCATTGATGAAAGTCGACAAAAAAAAATTGAAATGACGAAACTGACAAAAGGTGACGAAACTCCGATCATTTCTGATTGTTGGAGTGATTGTTAATGTGTTTGTTTTGCAATTGGGTTGCGGGTTTTACTCATGACCAGCCACTTTTCCTTTTTTGACTAATGCAGTAAAGATTTTTGTGAAAAAATTTTATTATTGCTTATCGGATGAACTATCTGAACTGATCTGAATTCTCGGATCTACACCCCCAAAAAAATTTTATCGAATTCAGTTTGTATTTATTGTATTTTTTTTCATGTCAAGTGAGTGATTTTTGCACGATGATCTTTGTTTCGATTGCATATAATTCTTAAAATCGTACCTCTTATTTTTAAATTAATTTTTTCCTAATTTGTTCTGATTGTTGATCGGGCAATTAGATGTTTGCTAAATATATATATATAATTTTCATAGTTATTACTTTATACTTTATTGATTTGTATTAGTTAGGTTTTATGTACCATTTTAATTTTATTTTTGTATGTCGGCATTGGGGCATTAACTGCTCGATAGTTTAATTTATTATTCGATTGTGAGTTTGACTTTTAATTGAGTTAAATAATT